TGATACGTATGTCATGAATGTCATCATTTACATTTTATGGTCCCGTAGGTCTTGCAGTGGTTTCGTTCACAAGGCAAGGTGTGAAACCTGCATGATATGACGTGATTGCATGCCGAACACAAGTGACCGACCCTAATATGAAAATTATGACATGCATGTCATGTAAGACATGACTACATGCCACGCTCATTATGCGCTCGCGGCTGTTTCGCTAGCGTCACATATACCGAATTTCGTATTACGGTAAGTGAATAGATGACGAAGGTATGTCAATAGTTCAAACGTGATAATCATGAGGTGTGCGTCATGTAACAACATGACTACATGCCACGCTCACGATGCGCTGGCAGCCGTTTCGCTAGCTTCACTTATACCGAATTTGGTAGTATGGAACGTGAATGGATGAAGAAAGTATGATACTGGTGGAAACATGATAAACATGAGATGCGTCTCATGTAACAACATCACTACATGCTACGCTCATGATGCGCTTGCAGTCGTTTCGCTAGCTTCACGTATGGTAAATTTTGTAATACGTGACGTCAATGAATGACAAAGGTATGTGACTGGTGCAACCATGATAATCATGAGATGCGTGTCATGTAAGAACATGGCGACATACCAGAGTAAAGGCGCCAACACATTTCGACGTGACGCGGTGCGTGTGCTTGCCAGCGTTCATTTCGTCGCGTCACGACGGCGTTGCCACGCCAGGCGCCGCTCTTGCCATATACTCGCGGGCGCACGCCGCACTGCGAAGCCTTGATGCATGCGCGTTTCAGCGCGTCCGGCGTCTCTCCATCACGAAAAGAGGGAGACGCAGTGCTCTCTGGGTAAGGTACCGGCGCGAAATTGAGCACGTCGGATTTCACACCAGTTGCCTTAGGGCCGCGCTAACGGACGCTGGTCGCGCCGGTCGTGCCTGGGGTCTAACATTAAACTCCTCGCAATTTGCTAACGTAGCGTCACTGTGTCCAGCGTGCGCGCGCGTCAACGCTACATTAGAGTATATTGGACCCTTCATAATGCGCTCGTTGCCATTTTGATAAGTCCACATATAACAAACTTGGTGTTACGTGACGTCAATGGATGACAAAACTATGCGACTGGCGCGAACATGACAATGCTGACAAGTGTGTCATTTAAGACAACGACAACATACCACGTTCATAGCGTTCTCACGGTCGTTTCGCTAGCTTCACATCACCATATACTAAATTTGATATCACGTGACGTGAATAGATGACAAATGTAAACGACACATCCAAACAATGTAATCATGAGAAGTAAGTCATGTACGGCCTCATTTACCCCCCCCCTCGTAACATATAGTGTTGATTTTAGAGTGGCACATCAACCTTCCTCATTCGTGCTTTGCATATCATCGATTCCCATTGTACGTGGAATCTGCCAATTGTTTCTCTTTGTCTGGCCGAATAATTCAAACGCATTCCTTTCTAAGCTACACACAGGATTACAGGAGTCAGTCATTAGCTTTAGGTGCCTGTTTTTTACCAGAAATCGGAAAAAGAGTTTTTCCTTACTCTGGTACAATAAAAAAACAAGTTTTTCTCTTCAGCGCTTGAGAGTTTTAACGGAAGTAACCCAATGTTTCTTGAAAAACAACACATGCTCCTATTATTCCTGTGTTGACACCGATCGAAAAGATATATATGTAGGCACCAGATCGCGCATTTGGAATTCCCTAAAGGGTGTCTTTATTTGGTTTGCGCTTGACTTGACGCTTTGCTTAATTTTAGTTGATACGATGGAAGCAGTACTGACCTTGACAATCACTTGTCCGTTGCACTTTGTGTGGGTCTTCCTCCGGGAGAGCAATAATTACACGTGTCAGTTTGAGCTCCCCGTTCCTTCACACACTACTCAAAATGAATCAGACTGCGGGTACGTTGGGTGTGTTACGTCATTGCTGGCAGGACGAACATAGCAAACATAAAGAGTGGTCAACGGCTGCCCTGCACGGCCCATGCTCGTAGGGTTCCTGCCGTCAGCTAGATGGCGCAACCATAAAAAGTAAACGTAAAATAATGGCTCGCAATGTTTCTGTTAAATACCTTATACAAGAAAAGTGATATTTTAAAATAATGAGACAGCAGAACTGGTTTTTCGTTAAAAAAAAAAAACATTGGTTTACACGGTTACGGCACCTCCAAATACGTCATTGCTAACAGGTCTTCCCATATTAGGCCTGCATCACCAGCGTAGCCCTGATCCAGTTATGGCGCTCCGGCTTCAGCGGTAACTATGTTTAGACCTCTTATTAGACCTCTCACTCTAAAATTAGCACAATATTACGAGGTGGAGGTAAACGATGCCGTACATGACTTACGTGTTTTTATTACCATGTTTGGATGTATCGTTTACCTCCATTATCTATTCACGTAACGTGATACCAAATTTAGTATATGTGGCGTTAGCGAAATGGCCCCGAGCACACTATGAGCATGGTATGTTGTCATTTTTTTTAAATGACACGCTTGTCAGCATTATCATGTTTGCACCAGTCATATACGTTCGTCATACATTCACGTCAAGAAACATCAAATTCGGTATATGTCGAGTTAGCAAAACGGCCGCGAGCGCGTCATGAAGGCCTCAATATACTCCAATGTAGTGTTGACGCGTGGACGGTGGGCGCAGCGACGCTACGTTAGCAAAGCGCGAACACTCTATAGTCTGACGCCAGACGCGACCAGCGTTCATTAGCGTGGCCTGATGGTAACCAGCGCGAAACGCGACGTGCTGCATTTCGCGCCGATGCGTTACCCAGACAACACTGCGTCTCCCTCTCTTCGTGATGGAGTGACGCCGAACGCGCTGAAATACGCATGCTTCAAAGAAACGCAGCGTGGCGCGTGCCTGCGAGTATATGGCAGGACCGGCGCCTGGCATAGAAATGCCGGCGTGACGCGACGAAATGAACGCCCGTGAGCACGCGTACCGCGTCACGTCAAAATGTATTGGCGCCTTGACTGTGGTGTGTAGGTATGTTCTCACATGACGCGCATCTCATGATTATACTGTTTGTACCAGTCACACACCTTCGTCAGCCATTGACGTCACGTAATATAAAGTTTGGCATATGAGAAGCTAGCGAAACGGCCGTGAGCACATCATGAGTGTGGCGTGTGGTCACGTTGTTACATGACACGCATACCATGATTATCTTGTTTTGATGTGCCATTTAAATACTTCGCGTCACGAAAAGTTGAGTTTGATACATGTGAAGCTAGCGAAACGGCCACGAGGTCATCATGAGCATAGCATGTAGTCATGTTGTGACATGACACGCATCTCATGTTTATCAAGTTTGCACCAGTATCATACCTTCGTCATCCATTCAGTTACCGTAATACGAAATTTGGTATATGTGACGCGAGCGAAACGGCTGTGAGTGTGTCGTGAGCATGGTATGTAGTCCGCGTCATGATTGTCATGTTAGGGTCAGTCGCTTGTGTTCGGCATGCAATCATGCCATACCATGCCAGTTTTGCAACATGCTATGAAAACTAAACCACCGCAAGAGCTGCAGGAGCAGTAAATGCAAATCATGACATACATATCACAATTTTCTTGTTATGACTGGAGAAATATGATCTACATACAGCTATGTTATGCCACACCAAGTTTGGTATCGGTGACATTATCGAAACGGCCAGAAGAGCTAAAAGTCCTAAGCAGCTAGATGGATGAATGGATGGATGGATGGATGGATGGATGGATGGATGGATGGATGGATGGATGGATGGATGGATGGATGGATGGATGGATGGATGGATGGACGGATGGATATACTAATGAATGGACGGATGGACGGATGGATGGATGGATGAACGGATGGACGAATGTATGAATGGATGGATGGATGGATGGATGGGTGGATGAATGAATGGATGGATGGATGGATGAATGGAGGGATGGATGGATGGATGGATGGATGGATGGATGGATGGATGGATGGATGGATGGATGGATGGATGGATGGATGGATGGATGGATGGATGGATGGATGGATGGATGGATGGATGGATGGATACGCTCAAAGCCGCCGAAGTTCACTTAAAAACGCTTCGCATTCAAAGGTGAAAAGCGAAATAATTCACATTGAACATTGCTCACACAACTTGTCTCTGCGGGACACGCACGTAGTGGAATGCTTTTTTAAAATGAAATATATGTCATGCGCTGCGAAGCGCTTTAGTGTACTTGGCAGCTTCCACGACACCAAATAAGGAATCTAAACAATCGACCACCTTCAAACCAATACATCAGGTTTTATCATGTAATAACAGAGGAAGTATCCTGAAAACTATTTTGTGGAATGAAACCCTGGCTAAATGCACCACCTTCTTATGACAAATTAGCATCTTACGCTAACGTGAATGAGTTGTCAATAAAGAGAGCCTGAAACTTAATTAGAGATTTTTCCCTAACACATCGGGCCGGTAGGCCAAGCCTCGAGGGTAATTTAGAGATCGATTTGAGCTCTCTCCGTAAACTGTGTAATTTATTACAAAGCTTTAAAGTTGCGAATCGCCCGAGATCGCTGCAGATCGCTGCGACTCGGCCAGACGCATTTTTAACCGCGCACACACCAAGCGACGCGATCTGCCCTATTGACGTCATTGTTTTCAGCTGATCTGCTTGACTGCGAAACATGCAGCACAGGTATTTCTTTTCTCATAAACAGGAAACAAATGTTGTTCGTAATTTGTAAAACACTTTATCATTTATTTTGGTTAAAACATTTTTACAAAGAAAAAAAAGATGGTCGCAGTTTACAACTAAGCTTTGGAAGTTCCGGCGCACGACGAACGTTGTATGCTTGGATCCCACACGCCCCACGTTAACGTCAGCTGCGCAACGCGTGGGCATCACGCGGTTGTTGCGACACCACAGAACACCGATACACTGTGACGCCATGAATCACCCTTGCTTCGTTGTGTGCTGCAAGTCCGTTGAATGGCGAAAAGGGAAGATATTACACCGTGCGCCTGGGAAAAAAACAACAGGTGCACCGAGGGGCGGCAGCGCATCAGATTGTCCGTATCAGTTCGGCGGAGGGGCTTACGCGTATGCGGTCGCCACTTCAAGCTAGAAGACTACGAACGCGATTCCGTGATTGTGCGGCGATGTGAAGAGGCATCCCTTCAAATTTGATGCACTGCGGTCTTTGTTCCTTCCTGTTGAAAAGGTAAGTTCACGGTCGATCCGGATCGTGCGACACGCACTGAAAATGCGGTTCACACGTGGGTGTTCAGAAAATACTATAACTTTGTTAATTATCACTATAACGACTGTGTCTTTTCTATGTAATGTGGTAAACTTCGCAATAATTTTACACACGCTGAAAGACTTTCCCCGGTTCACGATTTCCAGAACCGATTATAAAATGGCAGGCTGCCTTTTTGCACAAGTGTATACGTTGTAGGGCCAGCTGTAAAATGCAGGTTCAAATGTACTGCATGCATGTTATACATGATGAGCTCAACGAAAGCCCCGCAATAGTGCAACACGTGTTCGACGGCGTTGATAGGCTACGGCCTGATGGCTCGTGTTGTATTCACGCCGAATAGCAATAGCACGGCACGCTAGAAAATCGTCTCACAGTGCCGGCGTCGAAAGTGTGTTAGGCTTATGCTTCAACTGTATCGCATATGCTTTATTTGTTCATTTATTTGCCGGTGTGAATGCACATTTATGTATGTGTAAAGGCAGCCTTGCAAGAGAAAGCGTGCCGATTGATGGGTGGTTTAATTCATCGACTGTGCTCTGGGAAATTCATGCAAAAAAATTATGGCTGCTTACGGGGCCAATTATAAGCATGAATTTACGTTGTGGCATAATACGCAGGAAAACAAAGAAGCCGAGAAGTATTTGAACCACAGTGTCTCCAAAAAATAAATTAATTATATAACTGCAATACTCCATTTGTTTACGTCATAATGTATGATCACCAAATCACAGCAGGGCAATGAAGTATTGGCTTTCACATCTAAAAAGTACTTGGCAGCTCATCAAAAAAAAAGAACTGCTAATTAGTCGAACTGCATGCAGAGTCAATGTGCCCATTCCATCCGAGATGTGAAAAAAAAACGAAAATGCCGAAGTAGTTTTTATACTAGTACAATAAACTCTCCAGCCTCTGAGTATTACACAAGATTTCTTGGCAGCACGTTTGTAGTACACACACATAAAACAATTCATGCTATGTATATGTAACTATTGCACAGAAAATGTGTGAATTGAAATGCAAATACAACACTTAAAACACCCCGCCGCGGTGGTCTAGTGGCTAAAGTAGTCGGCTGCTGACCCGCAGGTCGCCGGATCGAATCCCGGCTGCGGCGGCTGCATTTCCGATGGAGGCGGAAATGTTGTAGGCACGTGTGCTCAGACTTGGGTGCACGTTAAAGAACCCCGGGTGGTCGAAATTTCCAGAGCCCTCTACTACGGCGTCTCTCATAATCATAATGGTGGTTTTGATACGTTAAACCCTACAAATCAATCAACAACACTTAAAACCATTGTCATTCATTGTGCCTGTGGTAAAAGAAGTTGCTGCTTTTTGCAGCTACACACACTACCCCAGAAAAGTGTCGAGAGCTGTGGCACAGTCTTGGTACCTTCTGTTAGCCAGGTTAGTCCTGCTCTGTTTGTGTACATTGGCGCTGTACAAACGTTAGAGTGGAATGTATATGTGTAGCACAGCATTGCTGCATATTATGGAAAATAACTCACTAACACCTTTCTTATGCAGCCACACACTATGCAACTAGCAGATGCCGGATAAGGCAGCTCGATTTCCACAGCTCTCTGCTCCCAGATGAAAAAATATTTTGTGTTCTTTGAAACATAACTTGGCACCAGGGCAGTTATCATAAAAACCAGAAGCATTTTAATATTCCTAAGCGTGTTGATTTTGTTTAAAACAAACACCAGCTATTTTATATAAAGTGATTTATTACCACATGACCACAAAGACAATGTGATGTATAAAATATAGTTTATCAAAAATGCAGGTGTAACAATATGTGTTTATTTTCCCCACCTCATATCCAGGCAACCACATACAAAAAAAAAACTGCACAAGGCAGCCACGAGTACAGTGGTAACTCGGAAGACAATGGGATGCTGGTCCGTTGGCAAGTTGACCTATAGGTTGAAAATTGCACGTATGAGGCATAAAATGTACAGTAGCTGCTCAGTTACAGGATTCACACCTAAGCTCTTAAACAAAAAAAAAAACTAGCAGGAAATAATGCATGATGATGAACGATCGGGCATGACACCATTCGAAGAAGTTTTGTTTATTTGAGTGTTTCATAACCATCTCAGCTACGCAGTGAACATGACCTTGAAGGTTCTCGTTTCGTTCAATACACAGACGCAAGCTGCCTTCACCACAGAATCCGCTAAGCAGACACCGATGTTTCTTCAGTGCCACAGCTCCCAGAGGTTTCAGGCCTCTCGGTGGCTCAACACCTGTTCGAATGGATGAATCTTCCCCCGCTAAAAAAGCTCGCTGCTGAAACATCTGTCCAAATGAACGGACCTTTCCCTGCTGAGGAAGAAAAGCCAGCTGCTCAAGTTGACTTCACATACTTGCCTTTATTCAGCGAGAGTTTCTGCAGGTATTACAAGCATTCAGTGATCTTTAACATGTGATGGGCATGTAGTCACAAACTAGTTCGCATACTGAAACGACAACGTGATACAAGTATTCTCTGGGGTTGTGTGTGCCCTTTCATGTTTGCAACAAAGTAAGCCCCTTAGTCCCTGAAACATTTCACGTCAGCGTAGTTGTGAGAATTTATTAGGAGGCAGAGAGGTCAGCCTGAGCTAGTTCGCTGTAGAGCAGTTCATGACAGTTCACGTATCTTTGCCAGAACACAAATGGTCCATTCTGCAGTGCATGCTCATTTTCCCCACCTCTGCGTTTTAAAACTATACGAACAAAACGAGGCAGTTACATTCCTGTGAAAAGCCTGCCGAGACACTTTCAGCCTGTCGTAGTTGCATTTCATGCAATACGGGGCAACCTGAAGATTTTCTAATGATGCACATAAGAGCTTGTACAATTAAATGCAGGCCCATTGCCAGAAAAAATTCAGGAGTGCCCCACCTGCTGAGGTCCTTTAAAAACCTGTATTTTCATTATTCATGTTGGGTAGAACACACCCCTCCATTCAAATTTCAAAAAGGGTAGGGCAGGCCCCTAGGGCACTTTTAGTTTTGGCCATGGGCCTCGTTGAGCACCTGTATAAGAGACATGCAAGACATGCACTTGGGAGCAATTAAAGAATCATGCGAATTTTCTTATCAACCTTATTTAAAAGTAGGCACACTGGTTTCTCTTATGCCACTTTGTCTCTTATATGAGTGTATCTTATATAGAAGTTAGACTATATAAGCAGCATTTATAAAGATTCTTTATTGACATTAGCTAGAAAAGAGGATTTCTATGACAACAGCAACGATGAATGTTGGTACTCATTTGCAATTCGTGATGCTCTATAACACAACAGTGTTTTTAGATGTTGCTACAACCTCTAACGAAATAACGAAGAGCATAGGAGACCACGTTCCCCTGCAGTGAGTACGCTTAGGCCCAGCGGTAAGATTAGTACAGTACTTATGCTATTAAGTACTTATGCTATTAGTACTTATGCTGAAACCGATGCCTGACTAGAGCACAGGCCGGCCGAAAGCATAAGACTTATTTCACATGAAAGCACACTGTGGTTCATGAACACTTTATTTTATTACAAGTATGTCTTTTCCGATGTTCACCAAATAAGAAGGGGCACACTGACACATGTGTACAACGACATTTTTCGCAGCATCTACAACGGGCTGCTACCTACCAAAGCAGTTTCACAGTGGACACAACGAAACAGTAAAATGATTTCTTGTGACACTATTTACACTATATTTATGTGCTAATACACCAACTTCTTTTGTATAGTACATCGCCAGTTACTTTATATAAGACTTCCAAACAATGCTACACTTAGCTCATGGAGTGACTGTTTTGTGATAGTATACTTGTTGCGCGTTTCTGGCTAATAATAAAATGGAGTGCACCAATTACGTTTTCTTGGTTGTGAAGAGATGTACCTAAAGAGTCCCTGCAATGGTTAACTGAAGCTCCGTTAGCACTTCTGCTACAGCACAATGTAATAATAAGCACCGTAAACTCAGGTAGTCACCTTGCATCATGACTGCTAAAAGCTAGAAGCTCTATAGCAGTGCTTTTCCTCCTGATCCTATCGAGAATGCAACTGTCACTAGGGCACGATTGAGCTCTAGCTTTTTGTCAACATTATACTTGAATCTTTCACTACGCCACTACCTATATCGGCCACTTAATTTTTCTCCAGTGCACTTATAATCAGTAGACACTAAAAATTATTTGAAGAAATTAAGTTAATCGAGACCATAAGTAATAAAAAATTGTAGTAGTATCTTTGGAAGTGAAGTAACGGCTTCAGGTGAGTGGATGCTGACACCTATTAGATATCCCAGTTCCAACTCTACTGATTTACCTCGGCAACTCCTCTCCAAGGTTGCCTGGCATTAGCACTGATCACTAGATTTGTTGCAAGGTGAAATGCAAGAAGGGCAGACCATGTCGTTCAAGGACACAGAAAAGTTTTGCTTTATTTGTGTCAGTCTAAAAAAATAGCAGGCTATCTCGTATTTAGGAAATGGGGGTCAAAGGAAGCCTTGCTTTGGTGGGTCTGGCTTTTTTATATACTTTCTGTCGCAATGTGCAATGCTAGCTCCCTCATGCTAAGCAACGCAACACATGCTACAGGCAACATAATGATTGCGGCTAAAACCTCCTTCACTGTTACATTACAATTACTTTAATAACATACCCTACCCGTTCCTTGGCATATATGCCAGTCAGTTCTCATTATATTGTCTAACAAAGAAAACACGCCCTTAAATAAACCATATTTTTTTCATTCATAGGGGGGTTCTCTTTCTGGCAGACGTAATGCCATCGGGTAGTATGCCAGGGAATATTAGTCAGCGGCCAGCTGTAAGAACATCACCTGTTGTACGATGCCTATAGGCAAAAAAAATGAGTGTCCCACACTCGCTGCAATGGCCACAGGCAGCGCTGACTGACACTGCCAGATTTAAATGCACATAAACATCCCATAAAGTGGACGGGGGGTTGCCCGGCATGGTAGCTCAGGTGGTAGAGTGTCGGATGCATTATTCGAAGGTCACAGGTTCAGTCCCTGCCCACGCGAAGTTATTTTTTATCCACTTTTCTTCACAGTTACAATAAAATTACTTTATAATAACATCTCCTATAATTTTGGCATACTTTTCTGTCAGTTGCCACTAACCTAACCAAGCTGTATTAATGAGAACTAACGAACAATAGTGCCAAAGAAAGTATAGGGGATGTTATTAGTTGTAAATGTAATGCAAATGTGAAAAAAATAAAGGTGTATGAAAAGATTGCTATTCATGGCTGGGACTGAACTTGTGAACTTCGAATTACACAGCCGATGCTCCACTAACTGAGGTATCGCGGCGGCCATTCCCTCGTTCACTTTATGCGGGACATTTGTGCACCTAAACGCGAGTGCGTCAATCAGCGCCACCACAAGCTACGCGACACCAACAGGCAGAAAACGTGTTTCACACTCGTCGTCATGGTTGATAGTAGCGCTGACTCACGCTGGCACTTGTAAATGCATTTATATATTGGATAAGGAGGACGCGGCAATGACCGCCGTGTTAGCTTATTTGGTAGAGCATCGGACGCGTTATGTGACGGTCGCAGGATCAGTCCCAACTCCTGGCAAGCAATTTTTTCGTCCACCTTAATTTCTTCTCATTTACACAACATTTACTATATTTAGTGTCCCCTATACTTTTTGTGGCATTATGGTAGGTTAGTTTTCATTAATATATGTCTAGCAAAGAAAGGTGAAGCTTAAAATTTTCATTTCTTTCTTTCAGCCAAGCCATGCGACTTGTTCATTGTTCAATACTGAGTAACACACGAGCACTAACATGTCTTGCGGGGTAATTCATCTGCAGTATCCATCAAGACAACAGCACTCGAGTTCTAACAATGGAAGAGCTTCTCCACAGGGAATGAAAGTTCATTGTGTTTGAGAGCTCTCTTCATGAACTGCTCCATATGTGGCCAAGTAGTTTGCAACCTTAACTTCAGCGTCATGCGAACTCTGGTCGTTGTAGAGGGGGTGTGCGAGCAACTGCACAAGCTCTGGTGAAAAAGCCAGCCACTTGTTCGAGGTAGTGGAGCTGGAGTCGGCAACTTTCTCCTGGCCGCTCTTATGCTCTACTAGGGCTGCATAGTGGCTGCAACCATCCAATTCCTTGGTGCTCATGTCATCACGGAGTGCACCTTCTACTACTACCAGAGGGTCTACTTGCACCCTGCAAAAAACAGGTGCACTTATTAATCAACATCTAAATATAACTATAGCAAGACTTGTATACATATTATGCAGCGTGAACACAAATGCTTATACTTCTCTTGCATTTAAGGGAATCTTGCTTTTTTAGCATAATTTTGCCATAGATTTACACATTGCAAAGTATTTGCTTCCATATGTATATCTTTGTCGATGTTATCTAAATTCAGAACATGAAATCATTTTGTAAAAACTTCTACAAAACTAGCCCTTCTGATTTTTTGGTTACAATGCGAAAGAGAAGCCTAATATTTTTGCATGCTAATATCAAAATGTAGAAACCAGTCATCTGGAAAAATTATAGTTTTACAAACAGTTTTAGCATACAGCCTTATTTATCTTACTGTATAATATGTATACTCTTGATAGAACTGAGTTTGAGATGATGAACTTGTACAGTGGTAAAAATGTAGCAGTAGCGGAATATTCGTGGGCATGTCGGCAGGAAACATCATTGCTATTATACCAGGGCGCGGAAACTCGGCGCTAGTTTCAGTTTCAAAGAACATGCACGCTCATAGAAGTTCCTGGGCATCCTCAGATCGAGTTGAACGAAGTGAGGTTGATGTGAATGTTCGCATTTATTGGCCATCACAAGTTTTTACAAACAAAAAAGTCTACGTCCCATAAAGAGCTTCTCTTTTGTTTATATTTTTTCTTACTCCTTATTTTGTAAATTTTAAATCAGGTGAAGCGCAAAGAGTCATTGACTTGCTTTCGTAGCGCTTGCCTCCGCTCCTTCTTGCCTCTTGCTCAGCGATAGTAGAAGCTGGATCTCGCTCAGTTATCTCGGTCGGTTACCGTGTCAACTACGAGAAAGATAAAGACTGCAACTTGTGGCGGGCAGAGAATGAACCACAGTGAGCTATGCCGAACAAGTAAACCATGCATTCGTCAAAGATGGCTTATTCGGCAACACATGTTTTTTGCGGCTTTGTGGTGTGCTAACCCAAAGATGTTTAGTTCCACGTAGGTTTTTCAGCGTTTCTTAAAAGCAACGAGTGAGGACAAGAACTTGGACCAAATATTGGAGCAAGTATTGATTTTGCATAAGTACATATGAGCAAACCCAATTCTCCGCAAGCCAGACTGGACTAAGAGAAGTGAAGTGTCGCTTGACTAAATGGTGAAGACAGCAGCCGAGCTCCTGTCGAAAAAATGGATATATTGAAAGGCTTGAATTCGAGTTGGCTCGGCTACATTGCTTAAGCTAATTTTCTTTTGGCAACTAGTTCAAATGATGTCAAACATTTATACGCCACTTTATGCTTATGAAATACTTGTAGCCGTGGTTTCAAATTTTGTGTGTCCTTATTTTATAATGTCACTCGAATACACGTGATGAAGTAAATGCTTCTAAATATTATTACAGAGAATGTGGACGGAGGCAGCATTTTGACAAGTAAACTTTTCTTCGTCAAGGCAACGCTATTGCTCTCACGAGGACAAGTAAACTTGCCGAAACATTGTTTCCAGCGACGTTCTTTCTCGAAGAACTTCTGATCGCTTCAAGCCTCTTCGTGCCTCTGAACTTCAGTCTCGCTTGGTACTCAATTTGTATGCCCATCGTCATAACAAACGTAATTGAGTCAAATATATGTCCTATCCGCGATTGATGACGATTTTAACATTGGTTCAGATATTGGGTTCAACGTTTGCTCGTTATGTCCTTATGTCAGTTGTAAATTGAAGCTGCATCTATAGACTGACACTTTCACACTACGTGTTTGTACCTGTTTTTTTATGCAAAACATGCAAAAAAACATTTCATTTGTGTCAATTGAGTTTCGTCTTACTGCGAAATCAGTCACCTTAACTTTTGCCTCTGCAGAAACACGAACAAACTTTTTAAAAATATTACCAAAATTTTATGGCCGCATTGCCCAAGCGGCCAGCGGACCTGCAAGAAGGCATGAGCGCATTCCGCTTGCATGCGAAGTGGGAAAGGAGGGCTTCAGCGGCAAGTCTCCTCCTCTCAATGTTTGTCCTTTCCCTCTAGTTGGTGACCAAACCAAAGACGTCATGAAAGAAATTTTCTGTTCGTGACTCATTTGTAGTAGGATGCCCGGTAACCGCCAGTGGTAAAAGCAGGGCTTCCGCTGCTGAGGGCGAATACATGGGAGGTACAGGGAGTTTCCGCCCCCTGATAATACTGTGGAATACTTAAAGAACCTATGCATTGTGCCACCTGTCTTTCCAGCTGTTCCTCTAAAAAGAAGCAGCCATGGTGGATGCACTCGTTGATGGACGATGTGACTCTCCTAGCTATAGTGCCAAGTATCTGACATACAGTGTGCTTGCCATGCAGAATGGCTGTATTTTACACACTGAGCTGGTGCAAGTTGGAAAGTTAAACTTGCAGTGCTACTAGTATACTTTTTAGGTGCTAACAAGAGACCTCTTGCTACACTTTTCTTCACCGTTACCCGAAGTCCCTTACACTGTCTCCATGGAAAAGCAAGGACTTGCTAAGTGTCTGACTGCTGTTCAGAATCTGGGCATCCACATAAGCTCGTTGACAAGTACCATAAGTTTGTGCAAAATTTGCAAGTGAATCTAAGAAACATTAAGTTATTAAAAGTATATCTTTATGTGAAATTATAAAATTACTGTTTCAAGAAG